GTTTTAGATTAGAAGTTTATCACACAGAAACTGCTGTAGGTTGGAAGATATTTGAATGGAGTTGATCATGCTAATTAAAGGGAATATACAGCATTTGCTTTTGCTGTAGTTTTCAGAAATGGTTGGATTTGGGGGTTAGTATTTTATAGCGCAGACTGTTACATAGACTTGTTTGAAGTTTTTGTGTTCATAGATGCTGGAAAAACCAAGAAAAACAATCATTTTCTTGTAGTCTGGTTCCCTGACCCCACTTAAGATGAAAGGGAGCAATTTGACGTCGGGGAATTGTAAGGTCAGTGAACCAGTCTAGTTGGCTTGAAGTTGTAACCCGTTCATAGGTGTGTAATCAATTGCAAAAAAATTGGGACTAACTAAATATGACAAATTTGGGAGCAGTATTTGAAAAAAAGCCAGGTTTTGTTTTCAATGCTGGTGGATGGACCAGCATTGGAAATTGATACAAAAATACCACTTTTCTTAAAAATGTCAGCACACCAGGTGCCATGATTTTACAGGATGCTTTAGACTGTCATTCACTTACAGTCTAGTAAGGTATTTCGTGCTAATTTGGTAATTTTTTTTTATGTTTGCAAATGTTGTGTATTCCTTTTAAGGGAATATACAACATTTGCAAACATCGAAAAATAAAACTACCAAGTTTTTGCGAAATACCTTAATAGGATGTTGATAAATGACAGTCTAAAGCATCCTGTAAAATTATGGCACCTGGTATTCTGTCATTTTCAAGAAAAGTGGTATTTTTGTATCAATTTCCAACGCTGATCGGCTGATCAGCGTTGGAAACAACTGGCTTTTTTTCAAATACTGGCCCCAATTGACCATTGCACTTGTTTGCAATCGATTACAAACCTTTGAACGGGTACGAGCCAGCTAGACTGGTTCCCTGACCTTACAATTCCCCAATGTATGTAAACTGCTCTGTTTCTTCTTATATGGAGTCAGGGAACCAGACTACAGGAAAATGATCGTTTTTCTTGGTTTTTATAGCATTTTCGAACCCAAAACCTCCAAAAAGTCAGTGTAACTATATTTGCTTTATATTTCCAACCCCCCAATTCCATCCATTTCTGAAAATTAGAGCAAAAGCAAATGATGTATATTCCCTTTAAGAACAGTGTCAAAATGATTTCTGTTTTAATTTATAATAGTAAAAATATAAAATAACACAACAAATTGAACGTGAAAAGATAACACCTACAATAAGTCAGAGTAGAAAATTCAAACAATAATCTTTCCCCTATTTTAGTCACTCAACTAAATTATGCCTCTCAAAGCAGGCCATGGGTATCAAACTCTGCCATTCCCTGGGCAAGGAGGTGATATTAGTTCACATGGGCTGCATGTAGTTCAAAGGGGGCCATGAACTCAATTTTCAACTGTGCAGCTATCAAAACTTTTTTAATGGTTAGAACTTTGACGGAAAGACAGAGGGGGTACCAGTAACTCTGTTTTGAAGGCAAGACAAAAGGGTAGAAGTGTTTCAGCTATGTACAGCCCTGTTTCTGTTTTATGTTGCAGGCTTTACCCTTGAAGGAAATGTGTAAAAGTGTTTTAATTCTGTCTGTCCTTGGTGTGACATTGATCTTAAGTAAGATTTGAGGCTTTGCATGGTGGAGATACTAAATAATGAAACGTTTGCGGAAACACCATGTGCGAATAATTTCTCAACCAAGAGAATGGTTCTGAAAAGAACCAGAGGTATAAACTCGATGTTCCGGTCAGTATGCTCTCTCCTGAAGACGGTCAGAGCATACTGACCAGAACGTCAAGTTTATACCTCTGGTTCTTTTCAGAACCATTCTCTTAGACATTGATCTCGAAAACCCAAAGAGGTAAAAAAATGCCTCATGAAGTGCAACTTTCACACTGCAGAGGATGGTGCATTTTGCTAATCCTCATTTCAGGAAACACAAAACTACAATTACAATATTCATCAGGAAAGGGAAGCCTAAAAACCACTTGGTGAAAGATAAGATTCCAAATTTTACATAAATGATCCCCGAACAGGAATGAATCTTATTATTTAGAAACACATCAAATGCACATGAATTGGTTTGAGACAAACAATGATGTCCAATAATCCCAAACCAAATCGGTGGACTTTGATCAATGCATCCACCACCAGTCATCCAATTCCTCGGCTGATTCACCTCTAGTCCTAGATTCCATCGGGTGAAAGATATAGACATGGGGTGACCCACATGCTAGCTAGGTCAGTGGCTGACATTCAAACCCTGTGGTCTGTTATTCGTGACCTAGATATGAATGTTATGTACACACGGGACAGTATTTTCCCAGAAGGAATGAGACACTTGGACAATACTTTGTCCAAACACTTACTAGATGTCAAGGTTATAACTGGTTAATTGGTAAGGGAATGAGGATTGCAGTTGAGATAATATTTGAAGGGGAACAAGAGGGGTAGATTATGAAGAAATATTAATTTTACTTCCAATTTGAAAAGAAATTGCGAACAATGCATGAACCTTGATGATGGATTTAGTTGTTTCTTTTCTGTTAATATTTGATCATGTCATCATCATGCAGTAACTTTTGGGATACTCTCTATATGGACAATGCCAACCTTGTTTTGACAGTAAAATAACAATCTAATTAAAACGCACATACAAACACAAAAACAGGAAATATGACAAAGTTACATGTGTGGCAGAAAGCATGCATGTTCAGTTGTGTTTCTATGATTTGGTTGAAATGTAGACACAAACTAAAATAATGCCTTGAAGTGAAACTAATATTGTTAATTGCCAAATACAAGCAGTAAACCTCATAGTTGTCTAAACTTTTGTTACTTAACAAACAATTGTTTTGACATAACAACTTTACAAAATTGAAAAAAGTACTTAAAAAATTCTTTGTTCATAGAGATTGTGAAGTATTCTTAATTCAGAAACATGGCTTTCAGAAAGAAAAAGGAAATTGTTGTGTTTAATTTGTTATCCATATGTGGGGGTGCGTGCTGTAGAAATTTAATCGTGTTTCTGAGAGAAAAAGGAAATTGTGTTTAATTTGTTATCCATAATGTGAGGGTGCGTGCTGTAGAAATTTAATCTGTGGCTCAATTGAAGCATATGTTATAGTGAATTTCAATAGATCCCCTTCGTGATATAAACTAGGTGGCAATATTGGAGTCAAATCAGTAGTCGCAATGATGTACTCTTACAAACAGCATTACGGACCGCTGCTGCATATATCTCAGCAGCAGCAGTGTGCTGGGTCATGTGCATAATTGCCTGATTGATGCTGTCGGTAACCGACATCCAACGGCAATTGTCGGGGGAGAACACAGGGGGAATGGCAACTAAGGGCCAAGATTTCCGCGAGAGATTGCCCGCCGTTATTTACGTTTAGGGCGCTTGGCGGCAGACTTCAAAGTGGTCGCTCAGGCCTGCCAAATGTAGCATGCAACAGTAAATGAAAGATCCCAAAATGGATTTGACATGGCCGGGGCCGTGATGGACGGCTTAAATACATCGGCGGAACATTAGGGCTGGGGTAGAAATCCAAAACAAATATGGACATTTCTATTGTGATAAATCGGTCTCCGGATCGGAACTCATCATCAATTATTCATGCTACAAGGAATTTTGGCTTTTACTCAAAACTCCGCTGTAAGCTATTTCCAATTTAATATCAATTATTTTAAATAGGGTTATGAATGCTCGATGGGAGTCCCTTACCAAGTTCATTTGCATGTGCATTGAATGTAAGTGAAATTCATTGCTTGATTTTTGGATAGAGAACAAACATGACATATGGTTGTGTCTCTAATATCAAACAATATGCTGCTCATATCAGGTATCACTTTATATTTTTGTTGCTACAAATTTTTAACTCTTCTGATGTAGGTGGATGAATTGATCAAAACATTTTAATTGAGAAAATTAATTTTATGACTTGAATTCCTGTGCTCAAATTCTATTTTTTTTTTCGTATAAATAAATGTTCAATTTATTTTTGTTTAAAATTGATCGTCAAAAACATATAGTTTCACTTTTTTTGGCCCCCCAATCTATCCCCATTATATGTTCTCAATACAGTTGGACTCTGAACTGAACAACATGTCTTTACATCACCAGATGCAAATAATTAATCCATTGTATTAATGAGTCACTAATATTGTCTGTCCATTAGGACAACTCCTATGCTAATTAGTCAATTTTAATTCCATTAGAGGTTGTCTGTCCAGTGTTTTTCAATCAATAAATGTTCAGCACAAATACACACATAAAACTGAGGGACACATATATAGTGTACATGTATTGATCATTAATGACTTATGGGACTAGCGTGTGTTTATGGAATTGACTGCCGTTTCGTGTAGGATCTGTTAAGTCGATGTATGTTTCACATTTGAAGTGTCATATTTCAGTGCATGAAAGTGTCATATTTCAAACCAATTCATGAGATAACCACTTGAGATATATGATTGAGCAGTTAGTTCCAATAGACCCTATTCATGTGGAAGACATTTTTGATCGTGTTCCCTGAATGCATTCTATAAATTGTAAGCTGTTGAATGGGATGGTGCCAGACTATTTTTCAAGCCTCACTTTCAATTTTATTTTAAATGTGGCTTAAAACGTTAGGATATGTTTGATCACAAATTTTAAATTGTTCATCAGAGCAGACTGGTACTAATTTGTAATTAACTTTATTTCATAGCTTTGACTTCTATTCGCAAGTTCCAAAACTGAAGATTTTCAATTAAATATGGCCGACTCGTGAATAAGGCCTATGGGATTCAAAAGCGAATACATGTACTGCCTTGACAGTGAAAATGCAACCCATTGCTGTTGTAAGGATGGCACAAAAATACAACCTTTTGTTGTTCAAATGATGTTGACAGTTCACATTTTACTCAATCTTTGCTCAACCACCCCCCCCCCCCCCAAAAAAAACCCTCAATTATTCTGTTTGCCTTTACATGTAACATTGTTTGTTTTTTTAATTCTCCACAGACACTGGAAGCAATTAAAGGCAGTTTGGTGGCCATTCTTCTGCATTATCATTCCATCTCAGTCCATCTCCATTTTAACTTCAGTGTTTTATTCCCACATTTTGATCATTCCCACACCCAGAATGCTGTGTTTCGACAAGCAAGCATTCCTGAGTGTGAATAATCTGGAACACAGGCATCATCACTGGCTCTTGGGGGGAGATCGCAAATAATCCCCACGCTGAGTTATCTGTAAATGATTTGCCATCTTCAATTGAGTATTTCCGAAAGCAGCTTATAAAAACCCACAGCTGGATCCCCAGTGAAAGTCGAGATTCTCTGGAGGCGGACGGTAGACAAGAGAACCCGAGACAAGGGGAGAGAGATGCGGGGACAGTTGGGATGCCAAGACGTCTCAGACTCATCGGGAGGAACGAAGAGATTGATTGGTGCAGACCAACAGCCCTCGTTGCCAAGGAATGCTTCATCAAGAGTGAGTGATGCGGGTAAGAAAAATAACAGAAGATGCCAATATGGATACAACTAGCAGATGTCCACATGGCTTAGATCATTGGAAGACACTGCAGGGTTGGGATGCCCTGCAGGATTGGGATGCCTTCAAGATGTTTTTGTCAATAATCTTTCAATCACTGCATCCCTTCCCTCAAAATTGTTGGACTTGCCATGTAAACTTTTTGAAAAGTTCTGAAATAAAAATGTTGTCCTTTTTAGAGGAAGATTTTTTTCAGTTGTTTTTTCTTCTGTAGCAATGTCAGTAATTGGAATTTGTTTAGTGTTTATCATCCATTAGTTTGGTGTTGCACATCCCACTCAAATCTCCCTTTTTTAAGTCTTAACATGTGGTGTCTTCCTTTTTTATTCTGAACATGTGGTGTTATTGTGGATAGGTTTGCACATCTGGGGGTAATGAGGCACTGAAGTAATTAAGGCTCTGAGAAACCTAACATACCATCAGGTTTGAACTCCAAAGATAAGGTATATGGTAATGCATGTCCTGTTGATTTAAGAAGAGACAAGGATAAAAATTGACACACAAAAAATGAATTATATTGCATCAGGCAGGCATGCAACTTTTCCTCGGATCAGCTGATTTCCTCTTTTTTTACTTCCCATGTGTGCCATTAAAAATAGAAAAACACTGTACAAAGTCTGGGAAAAATTTGAATTTCCTCCTTTTTTGTGATTTCCCAGTTGCATGCCTGATCAGGTGATTCCAGTACTCATGCTGCTTCACAATCACAATTCCTCCTTATCTACCAATGGAAATTGATATCAGTTTTATGCAGAAGTTAAAGAATAACGTAGTCTGTTTTCTACCTTCGCAGGTACCTACATGTATATGTTTACAACTTGGTGAAGAGATGCAATTGAAGTAAAGTACCTTGCCCAAGAACACAGTATGAACCAGTGAGTAAGACAACAACTATTGGACCACTATGCCCTAACATTTCTGTCTGATTTTTTTGTATTCTGTTCTGTCTGTCTTTCTCTGCTCTTTAATTTTTTTTTTTTACGATTTATGCCCTATTTACATCCTGCTTGTGTATATTTGTTGATTCAGAAGTATATTTTTATTTCAGTGCAGGGCAGTTTTTATCTTTTTCGGCATTGTGCACATGGTTAAGCAAACACAACTCTCAAGCAAATTGCATTTTTGTACTCTTGCCTACATCTAAAAGAAAAACTTGTTCTGTTGTCCTTCTTTGTAAATGTGTCATGACCTTCAATTTGCACTTCAGTAAATTGCATGTAAATGCAAGCTTTTATCACTCAAAGAAAGGGGCAGGTGTGAACACTTGAGCCCTAATGTCAGCTAATGGGAGCATGCAATCCAGTTCACTCATCACATTGTGGTGTAGGCCTAAGTGGATCTCTTCTCTGCTTCTTCCATCAGGGCCTTGCTGTAACTGTAAGATTCCACTCATGGTACTCTATCTTTGACACTCCGACCCAAATGTCAGCCAACAGCGCTATGTGTATGTCACTAAATATTCCATATAAGCACCACACCTCGAGTATGGCGATCAGGAAATATTCCCCCCGTGGGCATGTTCAAATAAGAAGCCGAGGCTTTCTAGGGCGCATGCATAATACAGTGATATTTGCACCTCATTCAGTGTTGCATCACTGTTCACTTTCTGGCCATGTTGCCTATTGAGTTTGTGGGCAGATTTCCTGGAGCTACATGGGGAAGTGTGGCGCCAGATAGGGTCAGGGGTCGCTCAAGATGGAGATGAGTGGTCTTTGGTTGCCACGGTGATATCATGTGTGGCTGCATTGATAGACTTAAGGTAAAACCATACAGCTGTTAATGTTCATGTCACAAACAGTTTGAAAAACAATTTGTCAATTTTTTAAAATTATGTATTAAAGCACTCTCTGAAGAGGCCATTAAAAAGAATTTTGTAGTATTTCTGTTTAATGTTAAACTTGTATTGTGTAAGGGGGTGGACAGTTTTTAGAATTTATACATGGCTTTTCAACTCAGTCTTTTCAGTATACTATCCGGAGAACAGAAAAGAAAAACAGGTTTTCTAGATATTGTGAGTTGTATTTGAATTTTCAATTATTACTGCTATCGGATAATGGGAATTAAGTTCACTTTTATTTGAATTTTTTTGATACCCAACCCCATTCTCATGCTCAACTACTTTTGCCAGCATGTCTGTAATCCAGTAAGAAATATTGGATTTGTCAAGGTTAATCTGTATACTCTGGATCAAGCTGCGAGCTCTTGTCACTTTGTGATTTATAGATAAAGTATTTTAGCCGTGATAGTCTGTGAATCTGTGGCAGTACTGGTGGTCTGCCATCTCCAGAAAACATCCAGCCAGGATGAGTCAACTGAATTCCATCACCGAGTGTTCATCCCAAACAGGCCCATTCCTTCGTGGATAAATAAGACAGATAGTATAGTCAGGCTGCCGAGATAGGGTGAGGCTGAAAAGATAAGGAGCTAAATAAACATCCGTGTGCATTAGTGGGAACAGGGAGATGGAATGTCTACAGCAAGTCTTGCACAGATTCAGAGAGTTAATAAGGTAGAGATTGAATGTTTTAAAATTCATCAGTTTGTATCGGCCGAAGTTGGATTTGTCTCGTCTCGGCTGAGTCATCAGCATAAAAATAGACACCCTGTTCAGAGAGTCAGGGGCAGGTGAAGTATCTACAGGCATGAAAAACTCCAGACGTTTACATCAATCTGAAATATTTAACACGCATATTTTGCCATAAAATAGCCTGTAGTGTCTCCTCAATTCCAACCAAATCAATGACAGCATCAGACTATCAAATTAACATCAATACTTCAACTGAATAGTTTCAATACATGATATTGAACCCCCCAAAAAGCTTTTGGCATGTCAAATGTGAGGACGCGTGTACATATACAGTAACCATTATTATTGAAATGTCATTATTGATAGTTTATGCAGAAGGCCTCGTATATTTGATTCAAACTGTTGAATGTGTTGCATTATCAATTACTTCGCAGGGACCATTACATTGTAACTGTATAAATACAAGACCATCTTCAAAGCACCCTGTCTTCTTGTATATTTTCTCAGTTCCTTTGCATGATTCTTTTTCGCTATAACATCATACTGTCTCATTCTTGTAACATTTCAACCGTTCAGTGGCTTCTTTGCATGTCCCTGCAGGGCACCTTGCTCTAAGGTGTTTGCTTCGATCACATCCGAAAAGGTTTTTAAAGTAATAGATTTGTAGGGCCTGCATTTATTACCATGGTAATGTAGTCGTGCGTCGCACACCTTGGTGATTGATTCCCATTGGGTAGTGCATTCAGTATTCCGAGTTACAGTAGCTCCTCGTTTAATTATCCTGTAAGTATCAGTCAGGCACAGCTCTTGTCGTGTTTCCATAGATACACGTGAATCATCATGTTAACATTCAGACAAATGAATGTCGTCGAGGCAAATGAAAGTTGATGGCTTTTCTACCGTGGCTATATTATTGAGACCACTTTATCACGAGCAAAATAAATAGGCTTCAGATGAAACTGAAGGTTATAGGAGCAGTAGTTTATATAGAGGATTAAACTAGAGGGAGTTGTTGCAACTGCAGTTGCCCAGTAATATTCACTTGCAGATTAGGCAGTGGTACAAATGAAAAGGTGTGATCATAGTGGGATAGAATTAGATGACAGAGAGAAAAATGCAGCTACAACGACAGTTAAAAATGTGCTGAAAGGACCAGTGATTACCAGAATCGGAAGAAACCCCTTCTTTGAAGGAGATGGGTTTTGGACCAAGGAATCTGAGATGTAAATATATGAAGGTGTCTAAATTGAAAAAGGCTCAGACTGTGTGACTTGCATGTATTTCAGATCCCTACGTATTTGAGTCAGTAGTTGCTTTCATTATTTGACAGAATTGTTTGTAAGTGCATGTAAGTATATTGGTTATTTGTCATGTTGAATTCATTCCTTCATGCACGTATCTATATCAGAATCAATGCTGACGATGTTATGAGCTAATTTACCCGACCTTGGGCACTTAGCACTGGCTGTATGAATCATCAAGCGCTAGACATGAATACAGGTCTCACTGAAAGCCAATTTGTTCATCTTGTTGGGTATTTAAAGATTCATTACCATGGTCATTGTACATATCATTACGTTAGCACTGTTCGGTTCTCAAAACAGGATTGTGCAGTTTCCTCAAAATGTCAGTTTTAATTTAAATAGGTTCCAGAATCTATTCAGCCATCAGTCAATTAAAATGTTCAGATGGAAGTGGGTTGGGTAGCATGACATATTTAACAGTGTGCACTATTAAAAAACATGTCCTACATTACTATGTGAACAATTGTTTCAATGTTCCTCATTTGGGACAATGCAGCATAACAAGTCTGTCTTCATTCGGAACATCATTTGACGTTTCATGGCTGGTCCCTATAACCAGGTAGGAAACAACATATAGTTTCTCTACCGAAAACCTTTCCCGACTCGCTTTTGTCACCGGCAACAATCCCCTGTTTTGGCCTTGCCAAACAGATTTGCACACACTCCCTGCATCAGCTAAAATATCTTTTGTTGGATCAAGACTACCCTGAGGGAGTGCCGGTCCAGTGTTTGCCTGAAATCCCTTTCCCCGTTGCTTTCTTTTTGCTGTAAGGCTGGGATTGCAGTTTAAGACAGAAAATTCAAATGCTGACCCTTATTCGCCCCGGGGATGATTTTGGAGAGTGAATGAATGACAACTTTTAGGGTGCACACTAAAGAAAAAAAAAACACACCTGTGATTGTTCTTTTCAGTCTTTTGTTGAGTTGTAAAGTGGCTTTCTCGCTAGAGTTTTGGCAGCCTGTCTAGAGCTAGCCACTACACGACGATAAGCATATATTTCTCCATGTCTTTTGTCATTGTGTATACCATCATTCTATGACATTGATTTGAATGTTTTGACATTTTGATTTGAATGTAATCTGTTGTGTGCGTGTCTAGCACAATGGCATCAGGACTAGAGTTTTATAATGTCCAAACATGCCAAAGAAACAACAGTCGGGTCATTTGAAGCAACAATAGAAATGAGGCACCAAAATGAACATCCCAAAAAGATGCTTATAATGAGGTCTTTGTAGCCATGCTTTGAAGAAAGGGGAAAACGACCCAAGGGTCTACAGCTCTACATCAGCATACATTGTTGCTAGAACATGCAATGTTATTAATAGAGTTCGACATTGTGAGTGTTGATGTACAGAAGATGTGCATAGATCCGGACTGCTGGATTCGTTCGTGGCAAACTGCCTTCAGTCAGATATGAAACATCAAACATTTTCTGTCAGTGATGTCTGTGCATTGCTTGGGCTCACTGGAGCGAAATGATGGAAAGATTACCATAGTAATTAGCAGCTCGCACATGCTAGTTCCCAGGGGAGGCCCTGATGGAGCTGACTGCTATTTATCAGGACTTGAGATTCCCATAGGGCAATGTAAAGTAATGTTATTTGCCAGCCGTTCTTTGTTGCTGCAGCGTACTGTCTCCCTGTCTGTCTTCTTGATGTCAAGGAACTCGTGTGACTACAGGAAATCCACCTTTCTTGTCTCATACATCAATGAAACACGAGATGGAATGTGATGCTGCGGTCATTGACACTTCTTGGAACATTTACACTTTTTTTCCTCTCGTTTTTGGGGCTTTACAGATTTGAAAGAGAGATATTGCTGTATGATCTGTAGTAAGTGTTGTTGAGCACCTTGTAAGACATGCTTAAGTTAATGTAGGATTCTACTTAGCCAATGCAGCTCTGTTGCTGATAAACCTTTCCAAGGTTCACATTTGTCAAGTTACACTAAGTTACCTAAAGTCTCGATCAAATAAAGACATTGGAAGAAAATTGTGTACAGTTGTATGTTGGCCAATCCCCTCAACTCTTGAAACTACATCTTATTTAAATGGTTTGTGGAGTGTTATAAAATTTAG